CCAAAAGCTCCAGGAAGCCCTCGAGGTTGAGGTCAAAGATAATACTGCCAATGGTGCCCGAAAAAAGCCTAAGGCAGTGAGGGCAAACAGCAAGCACATGATTATGCTGCCAGAAGTGCTCGACATCGAACGTCGCGAACATAGCCTCAAAGTCTTGATTGAGGGGATCAACACCCAGACCATTTGGATGCACTTCACAGAAGAGAACATCAACTGGTTCAAGAACGAGCTGGATACAGAGGAAGCGAAGCCTCGGGTGGCACGACGATCCGGCAGCAAGAAGCGAGCCCGGGGTCACAGCAGCGACGAGGAGGCCGAGGACGGCGAGGTTGATGGGGAACAGAAGGACGAAGACTATTGATCGGCAGCATGTTTCCCATGTCTACATATTACATAGACGATTTTGAGGGGCCACTTTGCATTCTTGCGAGGGAAAGAAGAAATGTGGTATACAGCTTTGCTTCTTGCCATATCATACAATGAATGATGGATGCCTTTTCTATTACACACACACATGTAGCATGTTTGAATATACATATGACACGGGGAAAGGGAAAGTGTTCCAAATCGCAGGGGTGAAAGAAGGGGCAGGAGAAAGAGACGGTTACGAGAGAGTGTATGCTTTTGTTGCATGTGTTGTCACTGCTTCCTGCATTTGCCGCCCCGCATGCACGAAGGCTCTCGCAACAGCATGCACAGGAGGATGCATGCAACATGCAGGCATACAGCCACTGAGGCCGATGCATGCATGCAGCAGGCATACAGCCACTGAGGCCATGAACTATCGAAGTTTCGGGGTTTAGGGCTTGCGACATAGCCATGGCTTGCTATCGCCTCTTTTTCAATGGAATGCCCGAGGCATGTCTGCTGCACTGCATGCCCTACATATTTGTAAAAACCCCTAAACCCCCAACCCTATATGCAGGCGGCGGAGCACGACTTGCAGGCTTCGATCGGAGACATCTTCACGAAGGCGACGGCCACAGGGGTTGTGCACTTCTCCAGGTTGAAACTTTGCAGTCTCTGCATTGGACGAAGGACAATAAGAAGAAGTGGAGGTGGCTTTCGGGGCCGGCTGCAAGGCCTTGGGAAAGGCTGAGGTGGACCAAAGGAGGTGGGGTGCATGTGCTGATCATGCGTGGAGAGAAATGGTTTTTTTGGTCCAGGCTGGCACGTGGACAAGATGGGGGACTCCGAGGAGGTGCTCTCCATCTGGTTCAATGCCTCCAAGTCCCTGGAGCCTCCTGAGAAAGGCCTGTGTGAACTTCAACATACACCCAGCAACCCAACACACCGATCAGGCTGGAAGTTCTGGTGCTCCAAGAAGGGCCGGTACAGGAACAGCCAAATCTACTTCGAGGACCTTGGATGTGTGTCTGAAGTATTTCGGATGGAACATGCAGTGTTGTTTGATACAGGAAGTCAGATCCGGCGAGGAGCCAGCCGAGGCACTCGATCGTTACAATGGTTCTTCTTGTCACCCGATGTGGTGTGAAGAGGCTTCGAGCTCCAAGCCTCCTCCGGAGCCCATGGACCCGCCTCCGGTCGAGGCCTTGGCGGTCATGGTTCCATTGATGCTGTTTCCCATGATGGTTCTTGATGTACATTTATATAAGGTCTCTGGCCATGATGGGGAGTTCCAGGCTGGAGTGGCCACGGAAAAATGGAATTTGTTTTGTGCGCTGTCTGCGACAGGACCCATGGGCGGATCAAGATGATGGAGAAGACCGTTTGGGAGGGGAGGAGGTGCCACATTGTATACATATTGATATTATACCCAAAGTATTGTGACTGCAGGAGGAAGCGGAGCAGCACTTCCACGAGAATCAGGTGCTGCATTCTTTTCCTTATAAGGAAGCAAAGGTTCAGCTCGACGTTGAGTGCAGGAGCTTTTGATGGACCCGGAGCCTGCCTTGGAGGAGGACCAAGTGCTGCTTTGTTTTTAGAAAGGAAGCACAGGTGCAGTTCGATGTTGTGCGCACGTGCAGGAGCTCATCGAGCCGATCATCCACGAGGATGATGACGAGCAGGTGCTGCATAGATTTCACACAAGGAGCATAGCTTCAGGCATTGTGTGTGTGTGTTCACGGAGGAAGAAGTTGCAGTGGATCCGCTGCCCGAGGAGACGGAGGTTCGCAAACACAGAAAGAAGTGAGAACCCATGCAGTTGTGATTCGTTGGCCTTCGTGTTGTTCAGACTGCTGTCGATCTCACGGGCGAGCACAAGGCGAGGGAAACACTCACCATTAAGATTTTCGTCTGTGTCCGGTGTGCAGGCTGTGGTGCCTGCTGCCAAGGATGACCCCTTCAGGCCAATGAAGACACGAACCGCCGGAGTGAAGCAGCCCTTCTGTTATTGTCCTGCTGCAGGCTTTGACTGTGCAGGCGGGGAAGCCGCCGACCAAAGCCGGGCTCCAATGACTTCAAAGCTCGCTCTGGCATGCATGGACTTGCTTGTTTCAGGTCGCTACGGTGGAGATCGCTTCCGGGAAAGCTCCATGGGCAGTCAAGAAAGCCACCCCGGTGCAGGGCAGACAGATTCATGGCTTTCTTGATGAGAATGGAGTTCTTTGGCCGCCTGGCAGCGGAAGGCACTTGCAGGGTTCAGGGTGTCTTCTTTTTCTAGGGTTTAGGCCGACTGCCGACAGGATCCGGTCGCGAAGCCGTGGTGGCCAGAGGGTCAACGGCCAGGAGTTCAAGGCCATCAGCACGATGGCTCAGACCCTCACGAACCAGGCCTCCTTCTCCACATGTCTCCCTCTCCCCTCCTTCTCTGCTCCTGCTGCCTCTGTGGCTTTGGGGTTTGTGCTTCCTTGCTTCCTGGCAGACGGAGCTCCAACGGGAGATGCTGGGCTTCCAGAGGGAGATGTTTGCCTCGCAGGCTTCGAGCTCTTCGCAGGGCGAGGTCTGCGACATTGCTCTGTTCGAAGTAAATTGAGAGCCCCAAACACCCGACAGTACAAGTGGAAGAACACCGTCACGTGGAGCCGGCGATGGTGAACCTCCACAAGGACTCTGTTGTGCTTCGGGAACACAAGTTTATCGATCTATAAACTCTCGGGGTTCGGGGGGGCAAGGGTTTATCGATCTATAAACTTCTGTCCCGGCCTTCTCTCTTATAAGGAGGACGAGACCAAGGGTTTATCGATCGATAAACTCCCGGGTATCCTCGGGGCCAAGAGTTTATAGATCGATAAACTCGTGGTTGCATCGGTCGTGGTGTCATCCAGGGGCTTTTGCCTCTGCTGTCCCGATTGCAGGATGCTGGGCATCCACATGGGCCGGATGATCGTGCCGGCTTTTTATCTCCAGGCACGGACCGGAGATGATGTGATTTTGTATCGGCTGGCGGTTGGCACCCTGTGGCAGGCCCATGCACTCTGAGCTCGGCTGCAACAGTGCCGGGAGCCTGGAAGAAGCAGGCAGCCAGAACAGGCACAACACAGCAACTCACACACCAGATCTTCCACAGCACACAGCACACACAGCAGCAGGGCGAGCGCCACAAACCAACACACAAACACAAACATATACAGCACGGCTGCCGATCATCTTCCAGGTGGCCCCAAATCCCTGTAGATGTACCTTGCAAGGTACCTGAAATTGGCCCCGGACCCCGGCCAGTTGTAGTCGTTCGACGGAGACACAGATTGACCGGCTTCAGCTGAAAATGGCGATTTCGGCGGTTGTGCGCTGAGAGCTGCTTGCTCGGTTCCATGTATTGAAGACTTGTGACAGTTGTGTCCTTGAGGTCCGAAACATGTTCCATGTATCGATATAATATGCATATAGTCATGAATCGTTATATGAATGTATACATATATATATATATATATATATTCATATGTGTGTATATATATATATATATATGTATATACATATATATATATATACTTTATATATACACATATACATATACCTGTGTATATACACACATGTATGCATAGAACCATATGGACAAAACAACAAAAGAAACAAGCAAACCTTTTTTGACCATTGCACCAAACAGAGAAACCATAAAAAGAAACAACATCATGAGCAAAAACAACAATTCACGTGTGCCTGCGAGCACAAGTGCCCTGCAAGGCCAAAACACACAAAGGCAAAGACTCGAATTGCCAGGCGAGGACACACACACACACACACCCCGACAACAACCCTCCTCGCCCCGGCAAAGCCCACCTTTACTGTGCTTTGCTTCCTGTCCTGCTCGTCGTGATAAATGTATATGTATTCTTTTACATATATACATGTATATATATATATATATATACATATGTGTATATACACATATTATTTGGTGTTGTATGTTGTTTTATACATTGCACATATTCGTATCTCCCAGCTATAGGTTTTACTTCTTCATGTACATTTATTATGTATGTATATATATATATATATCACAAGTCTGTCTCAAGTATCATCTGTAATGATTACTTTGTGTGGCCTCTCATTTCTTATATCTAAAATATAATGCTGTGTATATATATATATATCTACACACATTATATATGCCATAGTATATACATATATATATAAGTGCATATGCATCAGAGAACTCTTTCTCTCTCTCTCTCTGTCTCTCTTATATATATATATATATACATATATATATATACATGTATTGGTACACATATTTCTGGTTGTGTCTATATGCTTCTATACACATATACTATATATATATATACACGACACATCTATATGTCGAAACACCATGCACCCACCCCATCCCACCCCAACCCTCCACCCATGCACAGCATGCACACCGGCATGCATGGGGCATTGTTTGTATGTGAGGAACATGCACTGCCAGGCGAGCACAATGCCACCATTGCATGATTATGAAGCATGGATGTTGCCCTGCAATCTTGTGCATGGAGGAAGGGGCATCGATTTGCAGCATCCTGTTGTTGTACTCTGAATGCATGAGGCTTGGCTCTGTTTTCACACTATCGCCAGCAGGGCTTCTAGCTCGCTGGCAGCTCGTGTGTGTCTCGAACATGGCAGCTTCAACCGCCGTGGACCAATTCAAGGGCGACCTCTCGGCGACCATCAAGTTCCTGGGGAGCATGTCTTCCATGCCCAACTATGAGTCGATTCGCCAGATCCAAGCTGATGCCCTCACGAAGCGAGCTGCAGGGCTTTGCCTCGACCCTGAGGCAGGGGCAGCACTGGCCGATTCGTGGAGCACCGGCCCATGGTCTGTTGACCAAACCAAAGCCTTTTCTGAAGTGCTGGCCAAGGGTGTCAGTGCAACAAGTGGGAGCAAAGGCAGCAAGAATCGCAGGGAGAATCAAATGTGCAGCAGCTTCGAGTCCTACCTGAGCGAGAAGGACGTGGAAGTGCTGACTTCTGATTCCAGCATCCACATCAAGATCGACACTGCAGCAAGCAGGTGCTGCCGATTGAGGCTCACATTGCCCTCAGAGCAATGTGTGAAAAGTATCCTGGCCGCCATCGCTGCAAGATCCGGTGGCACATGCACTGAAGCCGAGCTCTTTCTCCAGGTGGCGGAGTTCAAAAGAGTGCTTCGTCTCAAAGCGAAGAAAGTCCCAAAAGAAGGGATTCACATTGAAACCTATCCGGTTGGTGGGCCTCGTGAGCTACCGGATGTTTTGTTCAAGGCGGCCTACGATGCCGAGGATGGGCCGGTTAGCACTCTGCTGCCGGCTGGGCAGGTGGCACTCAAAGCCATGGACATTTCGCTGAGACCGACGAACAAGAAGGTGAGAGGCATCTTTGCCACACCGAAGGCGAGCACTGCCTTGGTGCCTGCAAATTCTATGTCGATGCCTGGCATGCACATGGCTGGCATGAACATGATGGTTAACCCCTACATGCAGGGAATGATGGGCATGCATGGCATGCCAAATGCTTCGTCCATGCAGGGCCTCATGCAATGGATGAAGCAGCAGCAAGATTTGGCGACCCAGCAGGGAGGGTTGCAGAACCTCCAGATCTTCGCTCCCGGCACGGGGTCCTCTTCGGGATCGCAACAGCCGCCATCTTCTTCGACACCGGCATGTGCACAGCAGCTATGTTCTTCGACACAGGCACAGCAGCCATCTTCTTCGACACAGGCACAGCAGCCATCTTCTTCGCCACAGGCACAGCAGCCATCTTTGCCATGTTCCGGCCAGAACATCATAGAGAACGGAGAAAGCGGCATCGAGACAAAGCCTGCAGACCCCTTCGCCTTCCAGCTCGACACAACTCAGGCCCTAGAGGAAGCTACCAAAGTGTCCGATGCATTGGACAACCGCAAGACTGGAGGCCAGGGCAAGCGAACGGCTGACGAGTTCGAGGGAGTTGCCAAGCCGAAGGGGAAAGCTAAGGCTAAAGCAAAAGCTAAGGCCAAGGCTAAAAGTGAGTCCAAGCCGAAAGCAAAGGCCCAGCCCAAGGCAAAGGCCCAGCCCAAGGCAAAGGCCCAGCCCAAGAGCATCTTGAAGAAGCCTTCAGCCCATGCTGCCGGCAAAAAGTATTGGGCCTCGCTCCCCCTCGCGAAGCGAGTCTTGTTGAGGCCACACGGTTGCTCCAAATGCAGGTCCAAACCGGGCTGCTGCCCAAGCTGTTTCTAAACCCGTTTTGCCACGAGGGACAAGAAAATGTTCCCTCAGTTCCGCCATTTGTGCATCTTCGTCCAGCAACATCAAGCATGCCTGCAGATGGGTCTGCATGAGCATGATCGCGAGCCGAGACAAAAACATGCAGATTGCATGCCTTTGGCCGGAGCGAATGCATGCATGCACATATCGACATGAGAGTTGCTTCGTCAGCCGCGCATGTGGATTTGTTTGCAAAGCTGGATCTGTGCCAGGCCATGTAGTCAGATCTCATGAAGCTGCTTTGACACCTTATGCCATTCCAGGACGTAAGGGTTATCGTTTTGGGTTAAGTTATATAGGGTTGAGAGTTTATGTGTATGGGTTTTAGTGTTAGGGTTTTAAGGTTTATGGATTTAGGGCTTATAAATAAATAAATATAGAACATAGATAGATATAGGGAAGGGAAGCCTCAATATAGGTAATTATATGTCCATCGCAGAATTGCTCGTAGTTATAAAAGCCGAGAGCTGATATTATACAGATTTTCATTGGGGCCCATCAAGCCGGCAGGGCTGCAAGCTCGCCGGCATTCAGAAACTAGCCATGTCGTTGGACGTGGCCAGCTTGGGTCGGAAGCATTATGTGAGCCAGAGTGGTTTAGCAGCTGTTTTGAAGGAGGTTTCCGAATCGTCTTCCACAGTGGCACCTTCCAGATCAGGCATCAAAAGAGCCAGAGAGGAACAGGTCGCCATCGACACACCATATGGCGCTTTGATCGACAATATGCAGATCAAAGACAAGAAGGGAAAGGAACGGAGTTTCCCAACATTGAATCTGAAAGCCTGGATGTGGTACGTCGTCAAGAACCTGCTCGTTAGTTTTTTCAGCAGGAAGTTCCTGGAACACCCGCCCAAGGCAAACACACCGTGGCGGGTGTGTTTATATTGTGATGAGATATCACCGGGCAACCAACTAAAGCAGCAAAACACACGGAAGATCCAAGCCTACTACCTTTCCTTCCATGAATTCGGGGCGGAGTTCCGTTGCCAAGAACAACTGTGGTTCACGGTGGCTTTGGCGAGGTCCCATCTGGTGAACCAACTTCCTGGCGGCCTCTCGCAGTTCACCCACCACCTCCTGCAAGCACTGAAGCTTGAGGACTTCGAGCATGGTTTGCTTCTGGGCTCGGGCGGTGAACGAGTTATGTTCTTCGCCAAACTGGACACCATGGTGGCAGATGAAGCTGCCTTGAAGGCAGTCTTTGATGTGAAGGGCTCCTCGGGGACACTACCATGTCCTTTGTGCTCCAGTGTTGTTGCCAAGAAAAGCATGCTGGAAGGCTGTGACACAACTGGGACACTGGTACCTGTGCACGAAACTGCTCTGGAGAAGTTTTGTGCAAGAACGGACAATACCATCTGGCAGGGCTGCAGGTTACTGCAAAGCCGATGTGGCCAAGTCTCCAAGAAGGCTTTTGAGCAGCTGGAGCAGTCACTGGGGATGAACCATAACCCAAATGGTGTCCTGTTCCATGGGAATTTGCCTTTGGCCTCCACTTTGATGTACGACTGGCTACACTGTTACTTGGTAGCAGGACTGATGCACGTGGAGCTGGGGCTTTTGTTCCCCATACTCTATACCCACGGTGTGACAGTGGAAAGTCTGAAAGACTGGATGTGTTCCTTCGAATGGCCCTACGGCTTGAGGACACACCGCAACGAGACACTGAGGATTTTCGACAAGAGAATTCCCCCTGGCGAGTTCAAGTGTAGTGCCTCTCAAGGTCTGAACCTGTACCCATTGCTGCGACTTTTCTTGCTCAGTCTTGCAACAGGAAGCATTCCAGATTTACTGGCAAAGGCGATGACCAGTTGTTTGAATTTGTTTCTGGATCTCTTGCTTAAAGGGAACCGGGGAGAGCAGGTGCCACCAGACGATTTGGAGGCCGCCATCCTCAAACACTGCCGGGCATTTCTCAGTGCATATGGCTCCGAGCATGTTGTGCCTAAATTCCACTATAGCCTGCACCTTGGCGCTTTTGCTCGAAAGAAACCGCTGATTTCCTGCTTCACTCACGAAAGAAAGCATCGCCAAATCAAACAGCTGGCAAACGAGATTCACAACCCTGGAGACTGGTTTGAGAAATCCGTCTTCAGAGACGTGTGGGGCGAAGTGATCCTGCAGATGCAAGCGGACTCTTTCAGTCTGCAGCCCCATCTGCTGTCACCCAAGAAAGCTACGATCTCTTTGCAGGCCATGTTGAATGCAAACTTCGGCGATCGAGCATGCGGTGCGACTGTTTCCTTTCAGGCCGTTTGCAGGCCGGGCCAGAGCTGCGAGAAAGGTGATGTCGTGCTGCTTTCTTCTGCTGATGTGGTCCAAGTGTGGCTGCATTGCCGCCTGTATGACGGGGACATGTGCACTTTGTGTAGCATTCTGAAGCCTCTGGGTAAGAATCGCTTCCTCCTGGACGATTCCACGGCTCGGTTTATTCCGAGTGTCCACATCCAGAGGGCATGCTACTATAAGAAGTGTCCCAAGGATGGCGAGGTCATGGTCACTCCTGCCTAAGAAAAAATCTGCATGGCGAGCTTGTAGCCCTGCCTGCGAGTCTATTGAGATTGTGCATACACACTCACAGTTACATGCACTCATATATAGAAACACCTATACATAACTCCGACACATAACTCCGGTATGTGTACTTAGCTAACTACACTACTCTACATATCGTAAGTGTAACTATACAAGCCTGCTATTTATATACTAAGTGTGCTACTTGTTTAATAACCACCTTGATCATCGAAGTGCCCGGGCGTGTATCAAAAAAGGGGGGAGATGAGCCTGTGCAAAAACAAGGGTACATGCTCAGGTTCGCTCCCCGGCTCCCCTGTCGCAGCTCTCGTTCTCTCTTAGCTTCGCTTCGCTTCGCTGGGGCCAGGCTCCAGGAGCCCGCGCCGAGGCGCCCCCATTCCCCCGTTGTTTGGTGGAAGGGGCTTTGGGGCCGAACTGCTTAGGACTGTTCCCGGTGTAGCTGTTAGCGTCTGCCTGCCTGCCGGTTATCCCCCCTAACCCTGTACGTTAACGCGTCCCGGCCTCATCTCCGCGCTCTCTGAAGCTTAGTCCTTAGCCCTACGACAGGCAGATACCCCCAGTAGCAACAGCGGCTTGGCTACACTTCCCCCATGAAACAACTAAGCTCAGTGCGTTTTCGGGGAAGTGTTGGGGGTCACAGTGCGCAGACAGCTTGCATTGAGTAGTCCATTAAACAATTCTTTCCCCCTGCTATCTGGCCGCATAGTGTTACTAGGTGGGAGACCGAAGTGCATGAACACGACTGCGGTAAACCCTTTGCATATATCACAAGACTGTCTCCCCCACTCTAGCATGTTGCTCGGGGTGTTGCCAATTCTCCAGTTCATGGAGGACTGCGAGTACTGGCGCTAGGTCTCCATCCCCCATAAAAGGAGCGGCTTCCCTCAGCTCAGCTGCGGCTTCCAACAGGCGCATTGTGGCTGACATGGTTGTGCTGGTCCGTGCTGTCCACTCCATCGCCCCCTTCTCGAGGTGCATGACGTCAGCCGGGTGCGCTGCCGGCTGTTCCCCCCTGTTCATGAAGCAGAGCAGCTGGGGCCAGGTGGTCAAGCAGGTCGTCCCACCATCTGAGGCTGTTCGATTGCCTGTCTCCCCCGAGGGTTCGTAGAATGACCCCGATAGGCACGCTGTAGTCGCGAGGAGGCGCGTTGTAGGGCATGGCTGGCATGCTTCGTGGCTGTCTCCCCCCTGGGCTCATTAAGGCCTTGCTCCACATGCTGCGCAAGACGCTTATGTCTGTAGCGTACTCTTCTGCAGTGAGGCTATCTCCTCTTCTGACTCTCATGCTCGTAGCACACCCATATGCTTCCCCGATGGCCGACGGGTCGCTGGTCATGGGGTATTCCCCCCTTGTGGTGCTTGCTGTGGCGCTGCTTTCACTGAGCATCCTGAGAGATCCTGAGAGCATTGGCGCAGATGTTAGCTATGACTGTGCTCTCTGCCCCCTGCATGTTGGTGGCCACCTCATGTATGAGTTGTATTTGCGCCACTGTGGCTTGTATGCCCCCGCGCAGTGCCGCTATTGTCCTTGCTTGTGCGGGCGCTGGTCCCCTACAGGCTTGCTGCGGCTGCGGCTGCGGCTTTTTGTCATGTGCTTGATGTCCCTCTTGCTCTCTCTTTCTTTCTCCAGGCTTGAGGGCATGCCCCCGCTGGGGCAGCCTGTGCTGTTGGTGGGATGCACGGTTTTACGTGCAATAAAGATTCGAGCTCCCCACGGGCTGAGTTCAAACAAGCAACCTAACCGGTACAACAAGCAACCTAGTCGGTACAACATGCCCCTATAGTCATTGCATACGGCTCATGCCCTGCTGCCGCGCACGACTCGCAGATATTCCGCCAGCTGGCGGTTCCTGTGCGTGGAGTTTGCAGCGGTGGGGGCTTCTACTGAGTCGGGTCTGGGCTGCAACAGGACATTGGCATACATGACACGTACGGGCCTCGCCCCGACTCGCTATTTCAAATCTGGGGTGGCCGCGCCCCGATTTCCGCATGTTACCTTCTTCTAGACCTGGGTGAGCAAGTGGATTTGGCCTCCCCACACTAATAGTTGATGCCCCGTTCTAAGCGAAACACAAGTTGCCATGCCAAGTATGGTGCAGATCACAGTACACGGGGCCTGTCCTCCTACCTACTCAGTGTTGCCCCTCTTCGCCTTGTCAACACAGAGTCCGTACTTTGGAAGTAGGTGCAGACCACAGTACAGGGGCCTCGGTAAGTGTCTACCTGCTGCTACTGGCTCCGGTTCGCCCTCTCTTCTGGAAACCAACACGACAAGACAGTAGGAGTGTAGATCACAGTATGGGGCGGTTGTTGGGCCTGAGTGTGTTGACCGCCTTCCCCGGAGTCTACACGTGGTACGGGAAATAAGTATTAGTCGCTACGATCAGGAGAACTGTACGGGGTTGGGCGGTCGGTCGGGCTGTCGCTCACTCTGCGCCGGTTCACTGGGACTTGGTGGTCTTCCAAGGCTTCTCCCTCTGCTTCCAGACGCTCCGCTTCGGCTTCGTCTTCGGCCGTGGGCTGAACGCCCCCAGTGTGGTGCTCATGGCACCCGTAGAGGGAGATTTCCTCTTGGTCGTCATAGTAGGTGCCACTGCTGCTGTCGTCTGGCTCCGTGTCTCGGGGTTTGGTCGCCCCGCGCTGTTGTTCTCCTTCACGGTCTCCTTGTTCTGCGCGGGCGGGCGAGCTCCGCCCCGATCCACGCAGGGGCTGGCGCCAGCGCGTTGGTGCGTCTTCCAACAGGACTGTGTCAGCTTCGTCGTCGGTAGCGTGGTGGTCCTCTTCCTGCTGCGCCATCTGTTGTTCGAAGTTCTTTTGCGCCTCGAGGTCAGCTAGTGCCTCCCGTTCTGCATCGCCAGGGTCTTCTTGTTGGCTCGCCCCGGTGGTAGGCCATTCTTCGGCCTCCCCTGCGTTGTCCTGGCTCTCCACGTAGACGGCCTCACCCCCGCTGAGCCAGCTGTGTACTGCGGTGAGTGCACGCCCCGCAAGCTCGTAGCTGTCGCCACTAAGGAAGCCCCGCACGTTCTGCAGGTTGGCAACTGCTTCTGGAAGGGTGAGGTGCTGCAAGAAGAGGGGCCTTTCAGTCTCTTCCAAATGCACCTGGAGTTCAACCACATCTGCTGGATGGACGCCCCGCGGTACCGGTGGTTTGCCTCCTGCCACTGTCGCCAGTCTCGCCCCGGTGGCCATATTGCGGCGATGCGCTTGCAGTCCAGGCAGGCCCATGGCGTCCACACTGCTATATGCACTATTTATAAGGTGGTGCAAGCCCCTTGCTGCTGCCAGTTGCGTACTGCTCATGCCTGGGTTGTTCGCCCCGGGGTTGGTGTCCATGGCAGTGGTGGTTAGGTGGAGTGCTTGTGCCAGCTGCTGCAGGACTACCTCTCTAGACAGTGGTGTCGTGGGTGGTGCGACGGCCAGGGAGTGAAGTTGCACAGCGGCTTCCCGGAAGAGGGAGTAAGGGGTTTTCGCCTTCTTGGTGGGGGACACCCCACTGCAGTTGGGGGGTGGTTGTGCCGCCCCTCTCTGGTCGGTGAGTTGGTTAAGTAGGATCACCACGTGGTAGGTGACTTCTTCGACCCCGGCCATTCCTACTTCGTACAGTAGGCGGCTGGGGTGCTGTCCGTGGGTGGTGGGTCCTCGGTGCACCCCGCTTCCTCATTGAGATGGACATCGATGATCCAGTCATCTTGCCAGGTGAAGGTGAGGACATCCCCCTCGCATAGGATGGCCGCGTTGAACTCGTATTGCCCCGGCGCCGGTGCTGCTATGATTTCTGCTAGGTAGGTGTGTGCATTGGGTCTGGTGATGGACAGCACTGTCCCGACGGAGATGGGCGGTGCATGTTCCGCTCGGATTCCCGGTGGGATGGTCCGGAGGGGGTTGGGGTCGGCTCTAAGGGCTGCTAGCTCATGCTCCTCCGAGCGGCGTGGGTTGCTCTCGATCTGGACCAGCCACCAGGGTGGTGCTGTGGGCGTGCCCGCCTCTTGGGCTATGACGCGCCCTCTTGCCCATTTGTTGGTGGGGATGGTGGGCCGGTTGATGGATGGCGTGTTGGGCCCTCGCGGGGTTTGGCTGGCCTGGGCTTCGGCTGCTGTCATGGTCGTTGGTGACAAAGGTGCTCTGCGTTGGGGGCTGTGGTGTGGGCCACTGGCAGTCGGCATGGGGTCGGTGGAGCTGCTTGCTGGCGTGTCCATGGGCAGGCGTTAGTGTCCGTCCTGGTGGTCCTTTTGGCTCGCTGCTATCCTTTGGGCTTTGGCCTTGGCTTTGCTGTGTGGCTGTAGTGCGTCGGGGAACGGAGGTGGTGGCGGCTTTGGTTGTGCTGGTGGTTGCTTGACAAGTGGTGGTGGACGCGGGGCGACTCTTTCTTTCGCCAGGGCTATGCCATAGCCGCTATGGGCAAGAGGTTGACCCCCTTGCCCGCGCGCATGTGCGCCCCCGACTGTTGCGGAGGTGAGCAGTGGTATTATGCAAACCCCGGCTCTCGAATGTGCAAAAAAGAACTCTCTGCCCTCAGCAACTGGAATCCGACAAGCCAAAGGAGATATAATGCATGTCCAAGATGAAAGTTCGGATTCTGATGCTGAGTCGGGGTTATTCCCCGTAGTAGAGGTTCAATCGATGTGCCCGGTGTCAACAAGCAGGTCGAATCACAGCTCCGTGCGAAAATAACGGGGGAGGGAGGACGCGGGGCGACTCTCTCTCTCTCTCTCTCTCTACCGGGCTTGAGGGCAGAGCAGCGTCCAGGCTCTGGCCCTCGTGCGGTCTCGCACACCCGTGTTTCGCGGGATGTCCAAGGTTCTTGCTTGCAATCGGACAAAGGAGCACGCAAGCGCCCCCCGCGCCCGAAGGCGCACCGGTCTCACAGTCTGTGTGACACTGTCAAAAAGATGAGGATCGGCCTGGCACTAGAACTAGAAAACCTCCCTTTACACCCTTTACACATGCGCACAAAACCCCCGCTTCCGGCCTCCTCT